AAAGCCACTCTACGTTGATCTCCATTAATAAAAAAAATTCAATGACATGAAAAATTGTAAAACATTTCATTTAAAACAAATTTTAGAACGTAAAATTCCGAGCAACAATTGTCCATCTTACTTTCCAGAGTTTTTTTGCATTGCTCGCAGGTGAAATCAGGTGCCCAGGGTTTGTCTTGATCCCGACAGGCATGCCAAAATATGGCTTGTCGGCCTCACACATCTTCGCAGATGCTTTCACAGAGTACTTTTTTGCTCTTGTCTTGATAAATTGGCCGCAGACATAGCAAAATGCGTCTGCCAGATGCTTGCAGCCTCTTGATGCCATCTCAGAAAATGCAGAAAGGTATCCACTTACCCAGCTGGAACTAAACTGAACTGGTCGGCTTAAGGCCCCCGTATATATACTACTATTTATATTACTGTAAAGTTCTAGAATGTTCTAGAAGTTACTCCAAGTTTACTCAGCACTGAATCTATCTGGAATGTTCTGGAAAAAAGGTACATTTCAAAATATAACTGTCCTGGTCACAAAAGCAAAGTTTGTGGGGAATAACCATTTTCTCTACTTTTGAGGCATAAGCAATTAGGAAATAACACTACCCAGAAACAAAACATTTGTTACACTGTTATCTGCGAATGCCTCAAACGCCTAAAATTCCATCGCTTTGCAAATGTCCTTGATTCCCCTCCCATCGACATCGTAATTCGATGCTGAGTTGTCGATTCTCTACGGTAACTTCACTTGCAATTGCACTTGGCTCGAATATCCTCACCTGTTTTCAGATTAATGTGATAGCCATCTTTTATATGTTTAATGTGATCGGTCTAAAATGATCTACCCGAGCCGACTTCTGCTACAGGGAATTTATAATAAAACATAATTATTATTGTGAAATATTTTAGATGTTTCGTGACGCAGTTGTTATTGCTCTGAGTTCCCTTTGCTTAATAGATGTTGATTGTTTGTGGCTGAAATTCTCGTTACCTGGGTTATGTTTTCTGATCAGGCCCTCCGTGGTCTCTTGAGTTGTCACCTGGTTACACAAATTGCACTCGACTCGAATGCTTTTTCAACGAATCTCTGGATGTGCCGTGTTGATTGACCATACTTCACCAATGTGGTAAGTCGGTGGTGAATGGGATGTGCGAGGGGGAGGCAGGACCTTTTCCGTTGTCGCGTCATACCCCTTCAATACCAGCACAGATCTCGCACTTTCTGGCCCCTCTCATGGACACCACGGGGTTTATCGTTGTCTGCAGCTGCACGTTGATTGGAAACGGAGTGGCACCGAGTATTGGAGTAACCGGAGCTGCGGGAACATCACAACCCGAGTGGAGACTCTCCCCATTCAACCTTCAGCAGCAAAACTTCTGAGGGAATCCCCGAGGTCAAACACCGGGGAACCCCACGGCAATTCACGTGCCAGATCCGCACGTTGACCTCACTGCCTCAATTTAAACTATTAAACAGTTTATTTGAACAGGAAAGGCCCACTGAGCTATAGTGTTCTTTTTCGGAAGTGATCTGGCCACAAATGGTAGCTGAATGAATTGGCCTATCAAGCGGAAAATTATAGCCGCCAAATACTCAAGCGCATGTATCAAAATGTGCAAGGGGAAAACCGAAAACCCGGAAAAATCGACGCAACCTTGGCGAAGACAGAAACGCAAACTCCACATATAAAGCAGGCGTCAGGGTTGGGATCGAACCCATGATCTCCTGTATATTAGGCAAGGTCGTTAACGTCTCGCCACCGGAGCACCCCTTTCACAATTGGTTACAACTTAAACCTCGCTCGTGCCTTTAAATCAGTCTGCGATGTTTCCCAGATGTTGCTCGCGACCTTTGTTCGGCTCATTTAAGAGCCCACTTTTGGGCTTGTTGATTATCTCTTGCAGTTTCACATTAATTAATATCCCACGTTGGAGTTTCATCAGAAAATCAGAGGCAATACCCTCTCCATTTGCCTGTGCATTGTTTCCACCAATAACATCGTTGGAAAACAAACGCTAATGCCCGGTGAATAATGTTTGTTAAAGTGAGATACCCCCTCGAATAGCGAGTCTTCATCTGCATATCCTTGGTATCACCCCATTCCCACCGAAGTTGAAGCTCCTCCATTTAGACATTCAACGGCCTTCTCGTAGCACAGAGCTTTGGACAAGATCAGTTTATAGTTATGCATCGCTCGAGAAACTTTGCATAGTGTGAACGGTTACGCTGGTAGAACACTTTCCAAATCCGAAAGCTCAGGTGTGAGCTTGGCCGCTTTCAACTTCCGATTCTTTCCGAGATATGCCTATACATCGTTAATGAAAAAACGGGAGAGGGCACTGATCATTGGGCGTCGTGTCGCCTATCACGGAGCTGTTTTGAAACAATTTCAAGCCCGTTCATCGTAACACCTGCGAGGTCAAACGCATGATTCACGAAGACCAGGACCAGTTTCCCAGCGATTTTATTCTTCAAATAGTTCCATTTAAAGGGATTTATTTCGTTCATCTGAAGAAATGGGCGGGCCACATGGCCCCTTGGTGAGGAACACACACTCCTGGAACGGGGCATGGCCAGCCACGAGAATCCGCATCACGTGGCCATGAATGCTTGGAAGTCCAGGCTGGTGCCTTGGTTCTCATGCAGATCCCCCATGATCTTGCGCACTTCATCCAGGTCACACGCACCCTGCAGGCGAGATAACGTGAACAGTTTCTGCAAAAAGGCAGTGTACAAATTCCTCTGCTCAGTGCTGCATCGAGAGTAAACATGTTATGGTGGCCATAAGACCAGTCGTAATCAACCCCTTAGCAACGGCTACTCCCGCTCAGTTGTTCCTGCAAAATCCAGCGCCACGGATCCTGGCGTTACCTCGAGCGTTGCAGCTCCAGGCCATGAGGATCCCACAATGTGCATTCTTCGAGCCGAGTGGAGAGGCTGCGCGAGGAGGTGCGGTCACAGCGCCACGCACGGCTCGAAAAAGCTTGCGGTGCTGTCGCCGTGGAGGGCACAGGAAACCCACATCCAGGTAGGGCCGCATGTGCTATGAGCAGATTCTGTCGCGTGTGGTTCCTCATGGAGACGCTCCACGCGCCTTCTTCACAGTTGGCGCAGAACTCGTGCAAGAAGATGTCCATCACAGCGCTCAGATCCTCCATGGCGGCGGCAGATGAAGGCATCACGAGATTATCAGTGAACACAGTGTACATTAATTTACACAAGATGAAGCTCGATCTCCGATATAACCTTTCGACCGTTAGCAACCAGTATAGCACACGAGGGGGTAGATCGCCACGCACCACGCCCGCGACCTTTGCTTCCCACGTTGAGGGGTGCACACACCAAGTGCTCATTTGCGGTCATGTCGACCTAGAGAGGTCCAGGACTCGTTAAGAAAAGCCTTATCTGGTGTTGGCCTCAATTGGGAATCAAACTCGGGTTGCATAGTTCAAAATCGCAGCGCACAAACCGCTCAGATCCACACCACAAGCGTGTACAATCTACACGGGTTAACTTGGCGCAGTAACCCTACGCAAAAACACGTATTGCGTTCATGAGAGAGGACTCGAGAACCGCGAGATGACCTGGCTTAACAAACCAGGAGCCAGCCATGAGAGCAGATGCCTCAAAGGTGGAGTCTTTTATTAGGTCCGCCTTTTGGCGTCATCTAGTCGAGTGCCAATTGAGACGAGGCTCAGAAGAAAGCTGTCTCTGGTGTGGACCAATCAGTTTCAAGGACAATGCATATATTTTGTTTTTAATGCAGACATGAATCCTTGTAAAAAGGTTTCAGTTTGTTTCCAGAAAAAAGGAGAAAACCCCTATTATTATAATGGCTGTGTTAGTGGGATATTTAACCTGTTAATGTTTAGACATTTAACATGTTAATGTAACACTGGAGAGTCGAAAATAACTACTAAACATCACAGCCAGTTATAACTTAACCTGGTTAATAACGTCCTTCCAATGATTGCTCAGTCGTGATATTTTTGTATTTTTTTAATTCACTTTATTACATATTCATTATTGTATTGTTATCATTGTTTCTATCGACGTGACTTTACCGAAAGAACCATAGAATATAGTTTCGATGT